GCTGTGATTGGTGGGGAATTAAATTTGGATGTTTAGGTTGTCAAGGAGAATAAAAGACACGAGATCGAAGCAAGAAAAGGGGCTATGGAGAGAGGGAGAAGTAAACAGCATGGTGTTCGGATTCGTTTATGGTGTGATAAATATTGGGGAGAAAGAGAGAGAGGTGGATGAGCTTGGAAACCAAGTAAAGACTGATGGCGCCGCTGATTTGGAAGTAGGGCCCACTAGAAATATAGACGCATGAGCTGGGGGTGTGTTTGGTCAAAGAAGAATGGGGGTGTTGGTGTTGGTTTTTATGGTTCGGCTAAACCCTACATAGCCTGGACTAGACAGACAGACACACACCGCCATGAATTGTCTTATTTTCTTTCTCCCTCGTCTTAAAGCCTTGCAAGTTGGGGAGCCTCCCGACCGAGTGGATTGATATTGACTTGTTGATGTTCTATCTTTTGGCTATGGGGCATCAACTTTATGTATCCATCCATCTAGTCACTGTTTCTCACCACTCTCTCTCTGCAATCTTTCTATCTCTACCACCATGAGAGGGCGCGTCTGGTATTCTAAAGCAAGTTGGCCTGGCAAGGGAAGGGAAGGGCACCTATGTCACTCTCCATTAATAAATTTCAAACTCCTCCGCTCACATACTTTGACAAGAACGGTTTCCTTTCGTGCTGTACGTTATCTACATAGATGGGGTTAATAATCTTCAAGGAAGACTTTTTTTTAAGCCTTCGTTGAAGGAGAATTCGAGGCTCCTAATCATTTTTGCTTAGCAAGCACATTTTCATTTGTGTTGGCTCTAATATAAAGACAGTCGGATGGGGATTGCTCCTACCTTGAACCAATGAAAATGTCAAGGTAAATATCTTGGTGGACCCTCTCGCACATGACACACACACACACACTTTCTTCTTCTTCCTGCAAGTGCAGGGCTCTTTTCAAGTTCTTTGCCTTTATAACGAGCATTTAGTAATGTCTGATTATTTTTTCTTTTGCAATTGCATTCGTCTTAAATTAATATATTTTTTAATATTTTTTATAATATTGATGTTTTTATGTTAAAAATTAAAAAAATATTTTTTAATATATTTTAAAATACAAAATATTTTTAAATAAAAAATACTAAAATTAAAAATACCACAGTGTTCCAAGAGTTGCATTCTCTTATGTTCTTTGTATTAACAAATTTATTTTTGGTTTTTAATCATAATCTTAATATATATTTGATATTGTGGAAATTTTTATAGTTAATTTTTGAAAAATATAATTTTAATATAATTACAACTTTTTCATTTTGTATCCAATATTTTTTTAAAAAAATTAGTAGAACTTATGTAAAACTATATTTTATATTAATTAATTAAACGCTTTTAAAATTATAATTAGAGTAACGCCCAATATGCGGTATTTCTCATGGATCAGATCTCTCCCTTTTTTCGGAAGCTCTCGCTATCTGGCTGGAAAAGGTGGTCCGGAAGCTTCCTTTCTCCCAGCAAGCAAGACGAGATCAATGCAGTTGCAATCAAACTTCCCCATGTATGTAATGTACATCCTGCATGCATTTTTTTTTTAATGTATATAATGCTAAAAAACTATTAATAAATAATATTGTAAGAATAATATTTATATAAATTAAATAATATAAAAAACTATTAACTATGGAAACAAATGGTCTAAAATAAAAACAAATGATAGCAATTTATAAAAAAATAAAATGAGTATTTTAAGTCACAATTTTATTTCAAACCATGTAGCCACCATAACTTGTTAGCCTATATATATCATGAACATGAATAAAAAATGCCCTAATTTGGAAGAAAAGGAGACGCTCTATATCAGCCATCGAATCCATGACCTTGTCGTGGCAATGAAACATACCAACAGGGCACAAGATAAACAAATGATTCTACATGGATGTGGTTCTTGATCAAATTGCTTTAGGAGGAAAAAATTCCACCAAAATATATACATGTCTCACAATTTTCTCTTCAGAAACCAGGGATCGAGGGTTATTACAGCATTAAGGTGGGAAATGTCCAAGATCAAGCAATAGACAGTGGGAGTGCCTTGGGACACCGCTTGGAATAAAAATCGTTTTGAACACGATCCATACTGCAGCAAAGCGATAGAATGGCAATACTTGAATTACAAGCAGAAGCCTTTTTTGTGTTGGGTTTAAAGCAGAACTACCAAATTAGGTAGCTTAAAAGAAACAAAGAAACAGGATAGGCAACAGAAGCCGAAAGTGAGATCCTGCATGAAAAAGGAACCTGGGTGTCATCAACCCTCTTTCCACAGCTAAGATACTAAACTTGGATGCCACGTTAAGTAAGGGTCAACAAGCAAATCGTGGGGTTCAAGGAGGGCACTTTCGTATCTGAGCAGTCCTAAATTCTGGTTAATGTCTAAGGATTTGTTAAAAAATAAATTAAAATTATCGGATTAACCCGTTAGTTCCTAAAAGAAAAATATTTGCCCGCATGCGGTCATTTTTCTAAGATTCCTCTTAATCATCCTAATCCCAGAAACAGAAGATTGCACGCTATTTATTTCGTTTTAATGTATGGTGACGAAGTCATTGAAAGTTGAAATGGATCTGGGGTTCGTACAACTACTTGTGGACTAAGATGTAGCATGGGCTTTCTTGCTAAGTTCTCATGTAAAGCAAATCCTTTTGAAGTCATGGGGCCTTTAATATTTAAGTTGGTAAGATGGAGAGAAGAGAGGTTAAAAAAGAGAAGGGATAAAAGCATGAGAATAAACTAGAAGGTATAGTTGCACGACTGTTGTGCTGGATTTCTTGTGTTGTTGGTTTTGGGCATTTATACATGCTGGCAACTGAGATCACATGTTTACTTGACGAGGAGTAGAGTAGCTCACTTAACGATAATAGACTTGGAGGAAAACAAATCATGACTAGAAATTTGACTTATTTCACTGTTATAATTTAATTTTGATTTATTTATTTATTATTTAAATTTAAAAAAATATTGAGATTAATCATAAAATCATGATTTTGAAAGGTTTAGGAGTTAAAGATAATATTATGATCCCTAAAAATCTTATTTGTTTGCAAGAATTTAAATAAGATGACTAATTGTACATAAAAAGAAAGATCACTTTTAGTGTATTCTATTTATAATAAATTGTATTGATTGAAACCTATTAGTTTGCAAGATTTTGGATAAGAGGACTAATTACATATGAGAAAAACACATCATTTTTAATGCACCATACTTATGATAAGTTACATTATTAATTGATTATTTTTCTAAATTATGTTTATATTTATTAGTCCATTTAAGGTTAAAAAAGGTTCTCATTGATAAAGAGATCTCTATCTTATCATGCTAAAATCTAATTATTCTAAAGTTTAAATTTTAATGGTGTAATCATTTCTACTTTATATTTTTAATATTTGAAGATATACTTCACAATGGAATTTTATACCTCTAATTATTAAAGTTTATAATTAATTCCTAACATTTATTTTTTATTAATTCATTTAATTTAATTCAAGAAGTATGGATTATATTGTAAATTTCATATCTAAAATATTAATTAAAAAAATTAATTTTTGTGGAGTTTTTGGAATTTCTATTTCTTACATATAACCACATCACATTATAACTCATTACCATATAAGTAACCTCAAGCTTAACCCCAATCATTTTAATATTT